CCAAGGGACTGCAGTTTCTAGATGATTACGTAGCTGATATAGACAACGAAAACGGCTATTAAACATAGATAATATATTTAAAGTGATAAGATATTAAGTATCAACACAGTAGAGTGAGACTGTGATTGCATAAATCATTTTTAGCACTGTTTTATTAACTTATTGAATTCTAAGCAGATATCACTTTTCTTATTGATTCCTAAGTATTTATTACATACATTAATAGTTGTTTAGATCTAGAGGTGTTTAATTAGTCATAATTAATTACCCACAGGGTTAAAATAACATTTAGATTATCACGTGTTAATATAACAGCTACTTGGAGAGCAAGAAGTTTAGAAAAGGCATTTCACATAGGGAGTAATCAATAAAGGCACGTTGAGTTGACTGGGACTGAATGAGTTAAAATACGAAAAGGCAACCACACATAAACCAATATTTTGGCCAACAAGTATAGAAATGCTATGTCAAGTGTTCCGAAGTAATTTAATTGTTAACGTTAATAGGTGCAAGCAGTTATCGGTTCAATAACACACTAGTAATCATTTTTACCAGTTTCAATTATAAGCCTAAGTAAAATATTTTATTTTCGCTTTCATCTTTAATGCATGTATGCGTTATGTCTAAAAGTGCGTGTGAATAATAACCTAGTCTTCTGTTACATGGCATAGAGATGTGTCAGCACACGCACTGATACATGCTGCAGGAGATCGCGGATTGTGGAGAGGCATGATCGTCCACACCAGTCGGTGAGGCACCTGATGATGATATGTCTTCTGTTACTGAATTGTTCTCTGTTAGTTTCATTTATGCAGCTTATGAGTGAGTAAATGTTGTCAAATTTTTCAACAGCATGGCCTATAGAAACTGCTCATGGTATACTCAAGACAATTTTATAAAAATGTTATTGTTCATTCTCTGAACATTAAAACTTGCCAAGAAACATACATCTGGAAAACAAACTCTTTCAACATAGCTGCGCACCCTTTACATTTGAGCTGGTGTAAGCTATCTTGTCTTATAATTGATTACCCTAATCAAAGATAAAACGAAAAGCAGATTAAATACACTTTACAGATAAACAGTTTTAAAAGGAAACAGATAGTCTCTTTTAGTTTCCATCCTTATTTCTTGGTGCCGTTTATAGGAAGATAGGATCTCGTCTCTGTCCGTCTTTTTGTCTGTCTGTCTGTCTGTCTGTCTGTCTGTCTGTCTGTCTGTCTGTCTGTCTGTCTGTCTGTCTGTCTGTCTGTCTGTCTGTCTGTCTGTCTGTCTGTCTGTCTGTCTGTCTGTCTGTCTGTCTGTCTGTCTGTCTGTCTGTCTGTCTGTCTGTCTGTCTGTCTGTCTGTCTGTCTGTCTGTCTGTCTGTCTGTCTGTCTGTCTGTCTGTCTGTCTGTCTGTCTGTCTGTCTGTCTGTCTGTCTCGCTCGCTTTTTATATTTACTGTCTTATCTCTGCCTCTGAATTTGGATACACTGTGAACTAGTGCACGTTTTAGTTTACTTAGACAACATGTTAGATAATAATAAATACAGAAACTTAGACATCCTGCTTCCGTTTTATATGTTACAATTTTTTTGTAAGCAGATCTAAAATCTTTTGGGACGTTTAAAAAAAAAGTTGAATATACATATATGGGGCATTCTGTACTTTTGTAATTGTTTTTGCAGTTTACAATTTGATGTTCCATATACGGAAAGCTGGCATGTAATCATCATCATCATCATGATCGTCATCATTATCATCATCATCATCACCTTGATAGTCATCTTTATCATCATCATCATCATAATTTGCTTTGATGAGTATGGTGAGGATTCCTGTCTCTCTACAATCTGCGACCTTCAATAGAATACATTATTTATTGTGCTGACAAACCTCCATTTTATGACTAAGGTTGACAAGAATCGTCTCGTGTTGTCTTGTCTGTCGCGTTTTAATTTTTATTTTTATTTTCACTGATCATTCCAGTTGGTCACAAAATGTTTCAGTTTCATTCTTCTCAGCTCATGACCAAAAATGTCGCCCTTTTCAAAGCATCGAGGTTGCTTTGGCTAACCAAACAATTCTAGGATTTCTTCTGTAGAATGATTTATCTGAGGTCTTCAGAAATTGTCAGACTTGTTTGTTAATTGTTTAGGATTCAGAGCCCTATGTCAAATCAGTCGTTATGTAGGGTGTAAGAATGCTTCTTTAAACCTCTGGTGAAAAGAAAAACAAAACAACAACAACAACAATATGACTGCGTATTGAAACGTTGACTGTGTTCACATTCATAAATACTCGATTACGAATGCGTATATGAGACAAGTTTCGAGGTCTTATTCAGTTGATTCAACTCAAATTCGAAAAAAAAAAAAAAGATAAAAGTCCAGTAGTGAGCCAGCAATCAGGACTTTCTTAGAGAGCTTACAGTCGGCCAGCGTTAAAAAGGAAAAAGATGAAGATTCTAAAATGCCAGGCTTGATTCAGGTCTAGCAATTTGACAGCAAACCGTTTTACTGCAATAAGGATAATGATATGAGCAATGTCGGTTTAGTAAGCAGTGGCAAACCCAGTAAACATAACATCACGTAGTTAAACCACAAATAACCGACAGTTTTTCTTATTTACTTAACTCTTTAAATCCTAGCAAGCGCATCGTGTGTGATACACTCGTTCTTTTTAATGCCAAACATTACGGAACATGTTCGATTACTGTGTGTGTTCGTGCGCGTGCATGTGCGTGTGTGCGTGCGTGCGCGTGCGTGTGTGTGTGTGCGCGTGCGCGTGTGTGTGCGTGTGTGTGCGTGCGTGTGCGTGCGTTCGTGCGTGTGTGTGTGTGTGCGTTCGTGCGTGTGTGTGTGTGTGTGCATTTGTTTACAGAACACTAAAGAAATCTGGTATTCCTAGTTGTCTCTATGAAATTTTGCTATTCGTCATATTTCGTAGTGGTTCTCTCTTTAGGCAACTACTGTGAAAAGTTATGGGAATGAAAGAGTAAAGGTATGGAACACGCTTTTATAATATAGCGTGTAACAGATAACGATGAATTACCAACGTCCTTGTCGAAAGCAACAGTTATAATATTGTTTTTTTTTTAAATATATGTTGAAAGAGGCTATATCTATAAAGGGTTTCTATCTAACTAGTGAGGGGGGATTTGGCCAGAGATGTAACGTTCGTTGATGAGCTCTGTCAAGAGCACTGTTAAGACTGATGTTAATTTCTGTAAGGCTGTTCTTAATGCTCTCCTATTTTCCGAGGTCTTCCATTCGCTCTATACCCGTTGTAACGTTTTTTGTGTGGCTCGCTGTGGCAGATAGTACCAGGGCATTCTTGTTAGGTGCCCAAACCTCTTCATTTGTTGTTCTTTGATGACCTGTAAGACTGGCTTTATTCCTAGCATTTGTCTGATTTCTGTCTTGCCTTGAAAGTCATGCAGCTCTTCTGAGGCATTTCATCTCTGGTGTCACACTTTTGAGTTCACTGTTGGAGGATGTATGTGTCCACATTTAGCTAAATCAAACTGGCTACATCATCCCTCCCCCCCCCCCCCCCCCCCCCCACACACACAAAACACTGCGTAAACATGTTTACAAAATTATTTGTTATGTTTTTTTTTTTTTAGCACAAGGAAACATTCCAGGCAAAACATATTTATTCCAGATCTATGCTACCAATGCCAGACATAGTGATTCACAACAAACCAGACAAAAAAAAAATTTAGTAAACATGGAAATGAGTTGTCTGAAAAAGGCTGCAGGAGTTACCAGAAGTGATATAATCAGGAATGAGGTCATAAGAAAGCAAGTCGGCGCAGAATCAATTCTAGATTACACACGACATAATATCAAATGGTTTGCTCACTTAGAGAAAATACACTGTGACGAAGATAGACGAAGAGCACGAGATAGACCAAGAACAAGATAAATAGATAACACCAGAAGCACTTTACAACACTATGTGTCTATGGTTGAGACGGTCAAAAAAGCAAAAAGCAGAATCGTACAAGGTCCGAAATTAAGTAATGAGACTAATTCCATAAAAATTTAAATAATCAACAGTTAAAGAAATAACCTGTATTTTATTCAAAAAAAGCCCCTTGTGCATTGATACAGCAATTGGCACAATCTAACAAACACTGGAACGACCTCTGTAGTTCTTCTGTTGTTATGGCCCTTAAAGTCGATGTTCGGCCATAAGGATGTCATCAATATCATCAAAGAAGCGCCCGTTCAATAGTAACTTTAATGTTGGGAATATAAAATAATCACAGGGGGACAAACATGGAAAGTAGGGTAGATGGTTGAGAACACACACTTGTTTTGGGACCAAAAATTCATGTACAACTACCCCTCTTTGAGCCGGTGCATTGTCACTATGAAGAAACAAATTGCCAGGTGTTGAATACACACCGGCAAGCAACTCCCCCCCCCCCTTCCTCCCAAAATCTTCCACTACAATTTTATTAAGAGTCTATGTGTTAACATATGCGTTCAGGTTTAGTTGCATTAGTAATCATTTCCACACCACTTTTAAATCGTGAATAGCAGCTGAAAATCTGTGCACGAGATAAACAATTATCCATATAAACTTGTTGTATCAATTCAACTGTTGCACTTGCTCTTTTTCTGAGTTTTAAACAAAATTTACTGTTAGCTTTTGTGCTCCATGCTGATGCACCTCTGACTAAGTTAACAAAATGGGAGCTCGTTTGTTGTCTGCTTATGGGGCAGCGATAAAAAGTTGCCAGATCATAGGCGAAGGTTGTCTCTTTGGATTCCATGCTGGCATTTTTGTCTTAGCCATAATCAAATCAGTCTCATTACATAATTGTCGGACCTTGTATATCTCCCTCGACACCCGAAACAGTAAAAGATTAAGTGAAGAATAAGAAAAAAAAAAGTTCTTTTATAAATTAACCGTTTATAATTCTGGATGCAATTTAATCTGTAAATATAGTCAATATACTGCAAGCACTGCACATTTGGCTTGAACAATAATGCATGCAAATTACTGCTAGCGCCTCTTCCGGCGAACAAGGCGACACTTGAATGGAGGCGTCTGGCGCACAATTCCTAGGATAGTTTCGTCGTGGACATTAAAATTTGCCGGTGTCAGTTTTTCATTGGATGGAGGCAAAAGGTCATAACGCTGCAGGATGCTGGTTATGAACAGGAACATTCGAGAGCGTGAAAATGTCTCCCCCGGGCAAGCTCGAGCTCCGACTCCAAAGGCGATCAGACTTCGAAATAAGAGTAACATTGAGTAAAATAAAGTGGTAGTTATAAACTGACAATATTAATTAAAATTAGGCATTACAGATAAACCGACAGTAACTATCTTCACTGCAATAAAATACCAGCATGTTTATAGTAGGAGCTGCGCTAGTGCAGTGCCTAAATGCTTGGCTGTTGGCCCGAAGGGAATGGGTTCGGATCAGTACAGTAAAAGGTAAATAAAGGTAAAGGTAAATTTGGGAGATGTCAAGGAGCGTCACTGCACACGGTTATAAACCATACGAACAGCTTACAAGAAACTGTCCGCATGTGACTCCGTCCGCACGTAACTCCGTAGCTACAACGACGTTCCTCCGTTCACCCCAGAGTGTCAACTGTCCGGTTTCGAACACCAACCATGGCTGCAGCGAGTCGCAGCTGGATTTGAAAGCGAGCCTCCTATCGACTGCGGTAATGCGGATCTTAGATGTACACTAAAACACTATCTTAGCTCCCAGGTTGACTTCCTCTAAATTAAGTATTACGAAATGTCTAGGGAAGCAAAAGCGACCAGTGTGAGAGTGACCACATAGGCCACCGGGAGCTGATTGATCTTTGAGAATATGAGTCTCGCATGATATGTCCAATACATAACTGGCGTCAGAAGTGTCCGTTTACTATTTTTATTTGTTACATTTAGCTGCAAAGAGCGGCTGGTTGAGCGGTTACAAAGTCTGGCTCTCGTGCGGAAGACCCGGGTTCGACACTCGGTAAGGTGGGTCCCTGGCGACAGCACCAGCAATGCGGCCCTAAATCCTTACGCTTACGACCCCGTGTCTACACCGCCCTGAAAAGCTGGTGCAGTAGACAGTCGTGACAGTGACATTCAACTACGTAAATGGAAGAGTAGTCTACTGAGCTAATGATAATGAAGAGGTTAATTCTATCAGCGTCTTTTGTTTTAATTTTGTTCAGACGTGACCTTGGCTCACAGATTTACCATGTAATGTCATGGAAGTAAAGGCGACCGGGGTAGTATTGACCATATCACCCATCGAGGTCTATTGGTCTGTAACAGTGTGAGTCTAATCGCAAAAGCACGATGCGCCACTGACCCGTAAAGGGATCTTTACTTGACTCAATGTTTTACAGTTGTCACTACATATGAGCAGCTGCCTGGTTCAAAACCTCTGAGATTGTCTAAGTATATGACCTTTAACAAGCATAAAGCGCATATCAAACATAAATGTATAGATAAAGAAAAAAAAATATGATTGTTTCATAAACATGTGAACTATTGAAACACATCTGTTCTCCATTATAGTTCATACCGTGTGGCGTTGGTAGTCAGTATCTACAACCTTCTCTCTCGTACACTTTATGTCAATTCTGTCACAGGTGATCTTCTATGCTTCTGTGTTAAACTGCTGTCTATGATCCTCTATCTCGATCTTTCCCTGCTTTTTTTTTTTACCTCCAACTTTCACGCCGTGGCGATGTACTTTAGTTTTTAATCCTCTTCATTCAAGATAGATTGTCTCATTCTGATGAGGGCAATCAGTTCTCTTCGTGATTCAGTAAAGTTGAAATATTCTTAACTAGCTGTGTCCTGCTACGCGTTGCTGTGGTCCCGAATGGTGAAATGGAAAAGAAAAAAAGTAGCTCTCAACTAACAGTGTCTGTCATAGACCTCACCCCCCTTCCCTCTCCCCTCCACCCAGTCATATCTCCCTCTCCGTAGGATTGAAAAATCATCCCTGGCGAAAGTATTAAAATAGAATTAGTTAAGAAATGAGAACTTGAAAAAAATGTTTTGAGCTCTCTTAGCTAACAGTGTCTGGCATAACCCCCTCCACCCCCCCCCCCCAATAATATTTCCCACTCCGAAGGAATAAAAAAAATCATCGCTTGGCGAAATTATTAAAAATAGAAATATATATTACATATATATACTACCTAAGACTGAAGAGTTTTGGTCCGATATCGCAGCCTAGCTGTAAACAACAACACAACGTGCCAACCGCCCTCTCAAAGGCGAACGAAGATTACCTGTGACCTGACCAACATCACGTCGCTGCTATTGCAGGCTAGCTGTAAACCCCCAAACCGAGCGAAAAAAAGACGTAGATATCGCAGTCTAGCTGTAAACCACAACAAAACGTGCCAGCCGCCTAGCTAAGGCCCCAAAAAATATTTAATCACCCAGCGGGGCAGTGATCGCCGGTCACCCGCGTAACATGCAAAATATTAACAACTACGCTACCAAGGACTCAAGCATCTGCCCAATTATATCTCCCTCTCCGAATGATTGAAACATTAGTATGTGGTGAAATTGTTAAAATATAAATATTTAAGAACTGAGAACTGTAAAAAAATGTTTTAAGCTCTCTCAGTTAACAGTGTCTGGCATCAACCCCCTTCAACACCCCCCCCCCCCCCCCCTTTTTACAATCATATCATCCTCTACGAAGTATGGGAAAGTTATTGCCTATCGAAATATTGTTGTTAAATTCAGCTTGGCATCCTGTGTCCACCCAGACAAAAATGGGTAGCATTAATCTGTAATGAGAAGTAAATGTGGCCAGTGTAACAGCTACCACATCACCCATCGAGTACCAGTACTACTGCTACCACTACCACCACCACATTCACAACAACAACAACAACACAAAACGGTCACTACTGTCTGTACAGGTCGTTGAAGCCAGATGAGTTGGCGCCGCATGCTGTCGCCACTGACTGTTTAGTTTAAGTGTGTCCCCGACATAAAATTCCGTGATTTTAAAAAGTACACTATAATCACAAATAGCGAAAATAAAAACCAGCACTCGTCAAATCTCCCTCTCTAAAGGGACGATGTTTAACTAACCTTGGCATCCGTGTCGACCCAAACCAAAATGGAACGTAAGCCTTCTAAGTTAACAGTTTCTGTCATCACCGAATAGTTTTTGATCGAGTGAAGCGTTGTGGGGAGGCTAATTTGGACTGTACTGAAATCGGATGTCTTTAGGCGTAAGGCGCAGATATCGCAGCTTAGCTGTAAACCACAACACAACGTGCCAATCGGCCATTAAGAGAAAAAAAGAAAAATTAGCATCCAGCTGAGACTTTAGGTCAGATATCACAGCCTAGCTGTAAACCACAACACAAGGTGCCAACCGCCCTCTCAAGGGCGAATGAATATTACCCGTGACATGAACACTGAGCATTAAGTCGCCGCCATCGAAGGCTAGCTGTAAACCCTAAAATGGAACGGAAAAAAGCGTAGATATTGCAGCCTAGCTATAAACCCGAATAAAACGTGGCAGCCACCCAGTTAGCCCCCCCCCCCCCACCCGCCCCCCCCCCTTCCCCCCAAAAAATTATATTACTCAGTGGGGAATCGAGCCCCTATCACGCGAAAAAAATGAGAAATGCTCACAACTAACTACGCTACTAAACACACAAGTATTTAGTAGAAATGAAAGCATATATTAATAAAAGGAGGTTCGGCGATACACAGTAAAAGCTGGCAAATTGATTAAAAATTCATCCCGGCGGGCAATGAAACAAATAATGTTTTGACCGTTGCTGGAGCTACGTCGTTCCTGATTTGTGTGATTTTATGAAAAAAAAAAAAAAAAAAAAAAAAAAAAAGAAGAAAAAAAAAACCGCTTTGAGTCAGAGGCAACTTTGTGTGCAAATTTGAAAGCAATCGGTTTAGTAGTTTCCGAGTTTAGAGCTAACGACACCGGAAAATTAACATTTTTATTAATATAGATTATTGTCCCCCCCCCCCCCCCACTCCTTTTCAGCCCAGGGTATTCTCTTCATTCGTCTACAAAATATATTTTCCGCCGATTCCACATTTTTTCACTAGATTGTCAAACTGTCTAAACAATAGGACGGCTCTACTGTCAAATTTGGCCGGTAAACTGGACTGCGTCGGCCGGCTTAGTGGGGCTTAGTGGGAGTTATGTCCCTTCGCGTCCCTTCGCCAAACTCAAATCAAGTCGCGGAAAAAGTCACGAATCAAATGACATACTTACCTATATCATCCGGGTGCGTGTAGGGCTGCGTAGGGTTGCGTCTAGGGTTACCTATCATCATACGGTTGCGCGTAGGGCTGCGTAGGGTGTCTATTATCATCATCATACGGTTGCGTGTAAGGTTGCGTAGGGTGTCTATCATCATCATCATACGGTTGCGTGTAGGGTTGCGTCGGGATTGGGTTAGCGGTAGGGTTAGGAATTTGGGCTAGGGGTAGGGTTAGGGGTAGGGTTAGGGTAAGGGTTAGGGTTTAGGGTTAAGGGTTAAGGTTAGGGTTAGGGGTTAGGGTTAGGGGTAGGGGTAGGGTTAGTGTTAGGGTTAGACGTGAAAATCTTCACGTAGGAGGTCGAAATACTGGCCGACAATCTGATGCTTGTGGGAGTGGCGCTACTGGAAGTGTGCCAAATATGACGGCAATAGCGCGCGGCTGGTGCCCAATCGGTGGCGACTTGTCCGTGTCAGTAGCATCCACCGTCCGTCGACTGTTTGCGCGTGCATGCGACTGTGCGCGATTGTAGGGAACTACGGCGTCACAATTGTCACATCTAAAACTACACCTAACCCTAAACCCTAACCCTAACCCCTAACCCTAAACCCTAACCCTAAACCCTAACTCTAAACCCTAAACCCTAACCCTAAACCCTAAACCCTAACCCTAAACCCTAAACCCTAACCCTAAACCCTAACCCTAACCCCTAACCCTACCCCTCATCTTACGCAAACAACCAACCTACACGCAATAAGCAGCCCTACACGCAACCGTAGGACGATGATAGACACCCTACGCAACCCTACACGCACCTGGATGATGATAGGTAAGTATGCCATTTGATTCGTGACTTTTTCCGCGAATTGTTTTGAGTTGTTCTGAGTTTGGCAAAGGGACATAACTCCCACTAAGCCCCGCTAAGCCGGCCGAGGCAGTCCAGCTTACCGGCCAAATTTGACAGTAGAGCCCAATAGGACTGATAAACTGCTGCACCGAAAAAAAAACTCTTTTACTAAAATATGAGTTTGAACAAAATATTTTCTTACTCTTTCCGTTTTGGGTGGTCAGCAGGTAAAAGGTTCCCTTCATTGTCAAGAAAACGTTTGGGGTTAAATGTCCACGGATCTTCCCATTTGTTCTCGTCGTGGAGAAAGTGCCAGCTGTTAATCAGGATCTGAAATAATCGTTGAGATAAAATATATTACATTCGCAAAACCACTCACCTAGACACACACACACACACACACAGAGAGAAAGAGAGAGAGAGAGAGAGAGAGAGAGAGAGAGAGAGAGAGAGAGAGAGAGAAATTTACACAAATTCAGTTGATTGAACAGAGTAAATATATACTTTGAGCCAAGAAACGGAAAAAAAAATCAGTTTCTTGGTTTTATCAGCTTTAAGGCAGGAACGTGTGAAAATTACATCAAACTGGAGTGAGACATTTTTGGAATATACGCTTTTAAATATTCTTTACTTTCTGCTGCACTAAAGCAGTATAATACACGATGAATAGTGATGAGTGGTGTCTGCGGCAAAGAAAACCCAGAGCTTGAAATGATAAAATTCATTGTCATTACCTGAAATCAGAACACCTATCAACGGAAAATGAAAGGAATTAGGGAGAGAACAAACTAACAGTAAACATCTACAAGATCTCATCAGCAGACTCAACAGAAAGCAACATACAACAATTTTCCGTCTACGATGAGGACACTGCAGGCTCAACTACCACATGCATAAAATAAAGATTGTATAGTCCCCATAGTGTACCTGTCAAACAAGACCACAAACACCTGAGCACACTCTGCAGACCTGCCCACTCTACCATACAACCGAAAAGACGCCTGGCCTCAAGAGCAAAGTGTGTCCCTAGCAAGCTATGGGGAACAATGAAGGACCTGCTACTGATATGCGAGTTCATAGAGACAACACAACTGATGGTCTGATGTAAGCATACGAAACCGAACTCAAAGAAAAAGAAGAAATAATAATAAAGAAGACTGAGAAGATAGAAACAGGGTTTGCCGTTAACAACAGCACCTACGTATCATTGATCACAATGCTAAAAAAAAAAAAAAAAAACGTAGATAACTTACCAGCGAGTTTTTTGGGGATTACCATACCCTCGAAATCAATATCTTCAAATGGTCTTCTGAAAGCATTAAGAGGTACTGGCGAAATGAGTCGTACGCCTTCCAGGATTGTAGCTTCTGTGTAGGGCAGTCTGCTTTTGTATTCCAGTTTGGGTCGTTTACTGCCAATAACATCATCTATTTCCTCTTGAATCTTTCATGACGACATCAGGATAATTAACCAGGCACAGGAAGATGCCAGTCAGTGAGGATCTTGTGGTCAGGTGAGCTGAAAAAGAAATATTAGAAGTTATAGAAAAGACAACATTGCAGATATAGATAATTTATTTCAAGAGAACGAAACAAAAAGAAAATACTTTTACCATGAGGCATTTATCGCCGATGCATTTTGAAGTGGTAGGCTTTTATGCAGTCTAGACCAGTGTTTAAACAGCGGCCCACCAAACCAAGGAAAATATTTTTGAGTACCAACTGAAGAAAGAGACAAACGCTGTTCTTTAGTCACATAATGAGAGAGAGAGAGACGTTGGAGAACATCGTGACAACTAGAAAGTTTCGCGGAAAAAATGGGTAGAGACAGACCAAAAGAGATGATGCTGGACGGGCTGAAACGATGACATGGAGGGATATCATCAAGAGAGATGTTTCAGGCAACCAGGGATCAAAATCAGTGGAGATGCATGAGCGCCTACGCCTACTGGCAGGGTACACGATGATGATGATGATGATGATGATGATGATGATGATGACCACCTACACAGCTAACCAAACACAAAATAAAAACAAAGATAGGTCTCACTTCATTTGTTAAATCTAGTGTTTTAAAACTACATTTTGTCCGCTAATGCGACATGTATCGAACAACTCCTTGCTTGTTTGCTTGCTTTGCTAAAAAAAATCGTCACGTTCAACCTGCATCCCCTGAAAGAAGGGGGGAGCTTTTGGTTATAATTGTGACTAGGTTTATGTGCGCCATATAACATGGCTTAGTACTGCTCGCCACCAAACAGTCCTGAAGAAGACTCTTGCAGTGTTGCTGCGATCAAGTGAGACAGACCTAAATACTGACCGGCCACAAAGTCGCCTACCGGCCAGCTAGGGAATGACCCTGTCGCCGATGCCTACTACCACAATAGAATAATTATCGACGTCACCAATTATAGAAGAATAAATAACATTAACAATACAGTTGCAAAGAAAGAGAACGAGAGAGAGAGAGAGAGAGAGAGAGAGAGAGAGAGAGAGAGAGAGAGAGAGAGAGAGACAGACAGACAGACAGACAGAGAAGGGGAATGTATTCCTTCTCATATAATATATCTGAAACAAGGATTATTGTCCCTTGTAAACCCACAAGAAAGTTAACATTTCATGTTGAGAGGTTATATACAGAGGTTAACAGTTTTTGATACTGCTGCCACATGACTTACGTTTAATTCCATTTCAAGTACGTTTTGATAAAGACAAATATTTGTCTGCTGAAAGAAAAACTTTCCAGTTTTGTGATATCAAGAAGTGTATGTATGTTACGTAATCAAAAAATTATGGTTATGTTGCGAAACGGCAGGATGTTTGCTTACAGCACGAAGATCTGGGATTCGAAACCGTATCAAAGCGAGTGCTTATAAGTAACATTGACCCTAGGTCTACCCAGCATACAATGGGGTCAGTAAATCTCCTTGGAGATAATGGCGACCAGCCTGATGGCAACCACATCGATGTGTCTAAAATATGAGTCCGACGCAGTTTACCAGACGCTTTCATGGCTTCAAACTCATTCTTATTTTACCTTACATTATTAGTTTACACATTAATAAACACTCAGTGTGAAAAAAATAATCACAAATTTGAATAAAGACTGTGTCTTACAAACATGAATGAGAAGACTGTTTTATAGTCTACACAATATTATTTTAGTAATTATTTAATTTTTAAATTTATTATTATTCTGGCATTTTACCAGAAGCGGTAATGGCCTAAAACTCATACTCATTTTACTTTAAAATAACAAACAGTGTACACAAATTACACATATGAATTAGAAGGTTGCATTATAACTGAGAAATTGAGTTATTGGAAAAATGAGGTTTTGCATGCCATTATAAAGAGTATATATGCAATACTGAATATTATATGTGTAGGAGCAGACCACTTAGGTTGTTAAAATACTTCAAAGACACATGTTTGCCATAACAATACTCTATAAAATCATAATGCCATGAAGATTACACGGGTATAAAGAACTATTCATAATGCACTGCGCAATGGTTCTGGGGGTAAATTAAATTTGCAGACACGTTTTTCTTAACACACTTTAGTGCTAGGGGGGAAAAAATAAAGTGACTAGAAAGCTGAATACAGAGAATCTAACAGACTAGCACAAATTCAATTAAACGTTTAGGCCAAAGTCTGTATCAACGAAGTAATAGATACAACACAGACTGTGACGGGAAAACACAGTGGACAAGATAACTGAGCTTCTAAACAGCCAAGATCAACGTGAAACCAAGTCATGTGTAATGGCGTTGAGGGAAAAAAAAAGGAGGGGGGGGGGGGGGAGAGATAGGAACACGCCAGGCTGTATTAGGAAACGAAAAAACTAACAAGGCGTTTACGAAAATATTCATACCCGAAATAACCAGGATGGCTAGAAAAGAGATAATATGCCCTTCGTCCTCATCCATCCACTCGTAACCTGGTTTCTTTGCGTAGTCTAGTAGAAGATCTGCAATGCCTCGTGGCTGACCTGGCTTATGGGTTCTCTTTACAAAGTCATTATTACATCAATAAGAGTAGACTCTTAGAAGAAGAAACATATATACATTATTTCATAAAATCAATCTGAAATAGACCTAAATTACATACAAAGACAGCAAGTGAAATGGTTTGCCCCCTTAGAGAGAATGCCTTGTGACACCATGCCATACAAAGCATACATGGAAAGAGAAGAAGGACGTACAGCAACAGGTAGACCAAGAACATATATATATATATATTGGCCTTTGCCGACACACACACACACACACATCCACACATATATATATATATATATATATATATATATATATATATATATATATATATATATATATATATATATATATGTGTGTGTGTGTGTGTGTGTGTGTGTGTTATGTTATCACAGTCGACGTTACTGCACAGTGGGCATTCCCATGTGCGCTCAGTTCTCCGTCTCCGATGCAGCCGCTACTTTAAGGTATTTCTACTAATTTTTCTAATGAGAGGTCGATTATAATGTCTCCTATTTCGGCCTCGAAAACATGCTTCATCATGCTTTACTCCCATGTCACGTAATCGTGTTAGTGTCATGGAATCGTGATTATCCGCTAGCCCAGTCCGATGATATCTACTCTGCCCATGCTTCCTCCCAAATGCGTTGGTTATGAAATCCTGCCGGAGTGTAGTGGCATGATTATTGCCTACTGGCTCAAGGATTTTCGGTTCGAGACTTATCATTATAACATGACAGTGGCTCTCAGGTCAGCCTGGTCTAAATGTTGTATATTGTAATATCTTGTAAAGTAAACGCAGCCTTCATGCAGTTGACCATATTACCCATAAATTATTCTATGCAAATGTAGCTATACAACCATTTTGCCTAAGCGTAATGGTGTCAAAAAAGTTCCCCTTTTAATTTACTACATGAATGTAATAGATATCTTTGCCGGATGGCCTGGAAGTAAAAGTGAACGCTGTGCCTTTGAGAACATTTTCCATGTACTAGTGTATAAATGTATGGCTCAACAACCATATAAACGATGCGACAATGACACTAAAAGAATCCTTTATTTAATTTATTCCTGCATCTAATCTAGCATTCGTATTATGTGCATAATATTTTAACATAAAAGCATCAAAGAATTGATGACGCCTTTTGGGTATGATATCCACGTGGATGTATTAGCTGTCTTCGTCGAAAGGAAAGATACCATCAGCAATGTCATCGCAGCAGGTGTCTGTCACATAACGCTGGTATCCCGTGTCCTTGTTAGGGTTTCCTCTAATAAACCAAAAAGACATTCTGAAATAGTTGTATTGACAATAAGCACACAAGAAGGACTATTTACTTATGGGGAACATTTAATGATTTGAAATTAACTCATTTACATAGAGGTGTACAAGATGCTGGCAAGTTGAAGATCAGAGGGGTGTGGGTAGTCATGCGACAGTGTATCAATAAGAATATTATTAAGGGGTCACTACACGGAATTTTTTGTCAATTTGTGACAAAAATATCACTTTTTCAAATAGTTCGTTTTTGTAAAGTTCGACATTCGTAGAATAGATTACATACAAGATTTGTGTCATTTGTGAACAATATAGCGTTGAAAAGTTGATGCTAAAGACACCACCCAATGTATTTTTTGGGGGGGATAAAATAAATTTTGTACCACAAAATAGCAATGTTTGACACATAGCAACAGCTGTTTCCAAATATTATAATAGGGCATGTTATATATCATTTTTACCGCCGTCCAAATACCTTTTCATTTCTCTATATACGAATGCACCTGCGAGCTTTGCCGACAATATACGAAACTAATAGAATCATAGCCATACCAACATTTTATTGGCTCTATTTTTTGGCACGTCCTGTCCGCGTGCAGGAAAGCCCTAGGCCAAGGCCGATATACCTGGCGACACAAAAAGGTGCTAAAAGAGTTAGCAGCCGTTGTTAACCAGGCTAGAATGAGGGCCAACGCAAGGGCCAGTTCTACCATCGTCCCCATACGTTTCCTCAAGGCTGGGCAGGTTCAAAAAGGTAAGGTCAACCGAAACGCATTCGCTCCATCTGTGCTAGACTCTGCGAGGGACTGGTTACTGGCGGTTGATCTGCCAGGCCATGAACGGTACCCAGAGTTAATCCGGAAGACCGGTCTGCGACCTGACATAGTTGTCCACTCTGCGGAGAAACGGCAGCTCATCATGATTGAGCTCACCGTTCCGTATGAGTCGCGTTTGGACGAAAATCACCTGTATAAGCTCGAGAAATACAGGGATTTAGCAGCCGGTCTGAGGAGAAACGAGGCGTACACGGTATGTGTCTTTGTAATGAAATATAGGCAGAAAGGGGTTAAACGAATAAATACATTTCAGAACACCATCAAGGCATACTAATCCATCACTGTGTGACATGACAGAAATGGGTGATTAGAAAGCTGGCCTGGTCAGCGATACAGAACATCTGCACGGTGACCAGAGTTGAATTGAGTGCGGTTATCTGTGTAATACCATGACATCTGACAGAAGGATGAAAACATACTACAGAGAGTGAGGTCGACGAGTACCCGTGAGCAACGCGATGCACGTGTCCAACTGACGATACGTTTATCCAAACGTGACCACCAGAGACAGATGTCAGGGGGTGATTGAGAAGGCACACCAGAAAGAGCGGGAAAGTGAGGGGAAGTGAGTAGCCAGGGGCAGAAGGAGGAGAGGAAGGCAGTCAGAGCCAGGGGCTTGAGAAGGACAGTTAGGACTGGACCGCTTGAGAGACCAGTCAGGAGAACTAGAGCTGGACTTCGTTTAGAAGTTATATATGTTAAACTTGGAGTTTAGGTAAGAGAGTGATTGAGGAACTCATAGCGAGACATACGAATAGCCAGTAATAAGATATTGAAGTGCTCTTATAATATTTTTATTGAATGATTCATTCTGTTTGACTTGATAAGTTAATTTATAAATAAACTGCTGTGTAATTGTTACATCTCTGGCCTTGTTCTTGAGTACGATCGAAGAGAGCTGCGAACTGTTTCCATTCACCTTGGCCGAACTAGGCACATCTATTTCTTGGGGGATGTCAAGGCACGACTGTGCCACATCTTTGCCGTCGAAGTGGAAGCGCGAGGTCTCGTCTTCACTTCACAGTACAATGTGGTTAAAGAACTAGGATTGCGCGGTAATGAACGGAAACGAACACTTAAAAAACTGGGCGAGGCAGCCGAAAGGGCCTCGAGTTGGCTTTGGACGCAACGGAACAACGTAGGGGACGGGCCTCGGTGAGCGGGTCCGGGTGCCTAGTGGAAAAGGGTTTCTCACCTCTTGAAAGTCCATCGTGTCCGAATTGTCTGCCAGTGATCCTCTGCCACCTGCTAATAAAAGTCCAACATGTGTCCGGTATACCAATCGTAAGCTTGTCTCTCGGTCGTGCAGGTATGCTGACTGCTTTAATTAGGCTGCCGTGACGACTTCTTATCTCACAGTACCTTCTGCAAACCACCAAGTCGTCTTGTCCCTATCCGAAAGAAAAACACCATCCGGTAATTTCGTGCAGCAGGGTACCAGCCCTGAGCTTCATGAGCTCAGGTGGGCCCACCTCCAAAAGTGTCTAGGAGAATCGTGGGCCGAAACACTTGTCGACGAGGATAACTTCTACTGATGACTGGTAGATCCCTGCTGTACTTGCTCCCTGTGAGTTTATTCCTATTGTACTTGGCTAGCCCACAAGACTACCATGAAAGAATGGTGACTCTCGGGAAAGACCTTGTGACACCTATGGAAAGACTAGCCCCCCCCCCCCCCCCCCGGTATCGCCGGGGGGATAAACTGACATCTGGAGACAGATGTCAACTGTGGACCGGGTTGATCACCCCTAACACAGTATAATACCTCCGATTTCGCAAAACTATATGGAAATATGCCCCCAGGGCCCTCCGAAGGGGGGGGGGGAGAATGAAGGGCCTAATCAGATTGATACTCTCGGTGACGACTATGCTAGCTCCGGACTCAGATACTCGCCCAACGTCCGGGCTGGCTCTGTACATTCGGAAAGAGCTTCACGAGGTTGCATGGTCTGAGAACGCATGCCGAAAGAATGAAGTGTGAGGGTGCTCCATGCAGTAAACGCCGTCGCAAAACTACTACTCCTGTGGTAGTTTCTGAGTCGTTATGGAACGACGGGCAGGGTGAACCCCACTGGCCCGGAGTGGCCCATGACGTCGACTGCGGAGGAGCACGTTTGATGATTTCTGAGGAAGTGCGTTCCAAGATCAGGTTTCCATCTGCCAGCGATAAGGGGATGTGGTGTAAGTTGGAGGCTACATTATGTGAGATACTTAAACATGATTTAAACAAGAAGTCGTTAACCAACAAGCTTACACAATTTGGTGATGTTATATATGAACACTGCTACCGTGAGTTCGGGACAGTGGAGAAGGCACAGCCGGGTGCCAAGCAGAATACTAGCAGGAGGCAAAGGGACATTCTGAAGTGTCGGGCAGACAAGAATGCCGTCAGAAAACGGTCCAAAGCCGCTACAGGTAGCGAACGGGAGGGGCTGTACGAAGTCTGGTTGCATTTAAAGAACAGACACAGTGCCCTCTGTCGCGCTGAGCGTTTCTGTGCCAACATACGGTGAGCCAAAAGGGAGCGAGAGAAATTCTTTAGGGACCCGTATCAGTTTGCCTGAGGTCTATTCGAGCAACCGAAGTCTGGGACTCTGGTTGTCAGTCACGAAGAGCTTGAGTTACATCTACGCAGGATGTACTCTGACAAAAAGAGGAGAGAGCCTCTCGATGACAATCCAGAGATCCTTAGCGGCCTCAAGCAACCAGAGTTGCCGAAGGTACCATTTAAAATGATACCTCCCCTTTGGTCTGAGGTTGAGGAAGTTGTCAAAAAGGCCAGCGGCAAGTCTGCCCCAGGTCCGAATGGTGTTCCGTATGTTCTTTACAAGCGTTGCCCTAAAATCCTAAAAATGCTTCACGTCTTGTTGAGACAAGCGTGGATCCGCAAACACATA